ATATAAATATTTATGGCATATTGAATAGGAAAAGGGTATTACGTTATATTTAAAACAATCGCGACCAAATCCTCAAAAATGTATACAACTTACTAAACTATATTAGCTTTATTTTTATAAATGTGTTCTGTTTGGAGAGCCCCTTACATGTGTCTGTGGAGAAACCAAATACACATAAGCAATATATACCATAATTAAATAAAAAGATAAAAATAAATATAATGAAAATAATATTGCATAATAGAAAAAAGAAATTTACACAGAACCAAAGATACTCTCTTATAACAATATGAGGATAACTGTAACATGTTTATCACTAACATAATAAATCATTTGCCGATTGCACAATAGCATGATGTTATTAAAAAATTTTAAACAATTTTTAATAATGTTATTATAATTTATTAAAAGCTCAACTAAATATAAAGTATACAAAATTATAAAACACTTATACCTTTCATTTTCTTTTCATTATATTAACACAGTATGATAAATAAGATTAATTATTGTGCATTAAATCATATGCAGTGCTATGTGAAAGATACACCAATAGTTAAACATGAAAAAAGAATGTAATTATGTAGCAAGAAATATATGTAAATAATGTATAGAAAGTAGATATAAAAGATTTTTTTGTAGAAATGACTTGTTACTATTAGCATAAGTAGTGTGCAAGCGGCAACTTTTAGATAGCATTTTTGACATAAAAATTAATGCCTGAAAAGTAATTTGGTTTCTCAGGCTACATGCAATAACATTCATTAAATAACAAATATAAACCAGATCCTTTTCCAGCATAGCTATGCATAAATAAAATATAGTCAGTGGAAAAAATTACAGAAATTATAGAACACAATACTTCATAAACCTTTAATGATATTAATGGTTTGATGTTATTGGAGTACAATTAAGAGAGATTTAAGAATTAGAATAATTATTTGAACACTGAAAATTATGTTTAATGTTCAATTATAATATATTTAAAAATTGTAATAATTTCATGTAAATTTTTAATATACAAGGTGTTTCAGCTAAAATGAAACACCTAAATATCTTGTTTATTTTTAATACCAGAAATGTTTCAAACACAGTTTGAACGGTTTTAAAAGAGAAAAATCGTAAATAGAAAATTTATTTCATGATTTTTTTTTTTTCGAATTTTTTTAAAGTCACAAAAAAAAAGTCACCTGCATTCTTTTTGCTGGAAAGAGTATCAGAATTTTATTATTTTTTCGATGTTCAAGATCACCTCAAGGTCATAAGTTAAACATATTTGAATGCATTTTAACATGTAATACAAGATGCAACAGAAAAAAGTATATGCTTTCCAGTCAAATGATACCGGTCACGTTAAAAAGATTCGAAAAAGATGATCATAAAAAAGAAGTTCTATTCACGATACTTCTCTTTTGAAACCATTCAAATTGTTCTTGAAACATTTCTGATATCATTAAAAATAAAGGAGATATTTAGGTGTTTACAGAGATATTTAGGTGAGACACCTTGTAGATAAAAATTCTGTCAGACTTTTTATTATAATTATTCTACTTATATTAATACTTTCAAAACAATCACAATATGTACATACTTTAAAAATCCGTTATTTATGTGCTATATGGTTTTTCGAATTTTGTAATTTGCATTTATATTAAAATACATTACACTATAATATTAAGAAGTTGTAAGTGCAGCACAGATGCTTTTGTTGTGTGATATTACTTCAACTTATTGCTAACATTAAAAAAAAAAACAAGTTAAACACAACAATTTTAAATAACATTTCATAATTATTAACATAACTACAAAAAGTA